GACCAGCTTAAACCAGCAAATGACCAGCTTAAACCAGCAAAGGACCAGCATCAAAACATACCTAACCAGCATATGCTGTTTTTTTCAACAGGGTCGCGCACTGTGAGTGTATGCTTCAGTGTCTGTGCTCAGAAAACCGGACCAAAATTAGTTCTCTCTTGCGTCGTCAGATTTATCCATATATCTTGCTCTTCTCTTACTCCCACATATTGACATTTTTGAACGTTTTATGCAACGTGCAGCAAGTGTGTTAGCTTATGTCCCGCCGGTTCCTATCATAGATATGTACGCATAACCTCCTAACCACGCAGCAGATTCGGTGCAGCTCGAGCTGGAGGCCGTGGAGAAGCAGATCCGTGACCTGGTGGCGAAGCAGACCCAGCTGAGAGAGCGGAGAGCCGTGCTGGAAACATCCCAGGCTGACGCTCACAAGTCCAAGGTAAGTATACAGCGCGCTGTTAACTCTCCCACCACCTCTACTCCATGTGTTTCTCTGCACAGGCCCGGTGCACCCAGGACGCGATCTTCCCAGATGTCCTTCACTCCGGCACCGGGACACCACAGCCCCGGGGGGCACCCCCCACGGAAGACGCGAGCCAGGCCCCGGGGGCGACGACCTCTCCCCCTCCGCCTCCGGTCTTCGAGATCTCCACCCGGAACCGCTTCGCTCCCCTTCGCGAGACGGAACGCGACGCTGTGATCATCGAAGACTCCATCGTCCGGCACTTCCGTGCTACGTTAGCTGAAGGTAAAGTGCACACACACTGTTTACCTGGTGCTCGTGTTCTTGATGTTTCTGCGCAGATACCCGTGATCCTGAAGGGCGACGAGAGCACCGGAGCAGTATGCTTTGCATAAAATAAACGATTTTATTCATAAACATACAGCATGTAATACTTTGGATGTTAAAACATGTCCTCAGAGCTGTTTATTGTTTGTTTATTGGCAGGTTATGGAGTCGCAGCATGTTTCGGCGAGAGTGGAACACAGGGCGGCGGTCCGTTAGCAGCTCCCCGCCGAACACGACTCCAGCTCGGGCACGAGAACCAGCGCCGTTACGGTGGAAACAGAATAACAGAGACTGGTCGATTACACGTGAATTACTTCTGTTTAATGTTGAATTTTTTTCTAATGTTTGTTAAACGAGTTTAAACATAGGTGTAACGATTCAGTCCACTGAAGGTAAGCGTAGTGAAGAACCCAAGTGCAGTTTATTTACAGTGACCCAAACATCCAAACATAATCCAAACAGACGAAGACTAGAAACTTGACTTGACTTGACTTGCGTTGACTTGACTTGACGAGGCATAACAGACTAGACTCACCGACAGAGGGTTACAACATCAATACACAACTAGGCACAATGGGAACATGATGGCTACTTATAGCAGACAAGGAGGGTCACATGACATGAACAAACCAATGGGGAACAAGACACATAACTAAGACTACCAATCAGAACATGACACATACACAAGGCAGAGATACATGAGGGCAAGGGAAGCATGACACTAACAGGGTGAAACAATACAAAATACAAGACACGAAAACAAGAACATGAAACAAAACCCAAACACCAAACCCCACATTACAATAGGCAATATGTATAGCCTATTAAAAATAATATACACAATGCTGTAAATGATAAATGAAGGAAAATAAAGGAAGTTCTCATGCAAACCAGTGGTTGTGTGGAGTATTTTAGAACGGTTTAGAGGATTTAAGTTAATCTGTAAACATTATTTAATGTTTGAAGTAAAAAATAAGCTAGTAATATAGTAAAAATGAATCAACCCATTAACTGGGTTAAATCAACCCATTGTGCTGGGTAAATTTAACCCAAGATGGGTTCTGTCCTATATTTACCCAGCCCTTGGGTTAATAACAACCCAAATTGGGTTGTTTTTAACCCAGCGTTTTTTAGAGTGTGGTAGCAGGAAGAGCTGGAAGCAAACTGACCAGACGTTTGCGGAGTAATCACATCAGATTCCCGTTTTGGTCCTGATCAAAAACAGGATATATTGTATATATTCAAATTGTAGTTTATAAGGGTTGCATTTGATTACCTCGGGTATTCAAGATTATGATTATAATACCTAAAAAAATTAAAAAAATAAATACATAAGATAATAAAAATCAATCAATCAATCAAGCATGATTTGCTACAAAAATTCATAATGTGTCTGTGTGAAATTACAAATATGCTTGATGATTTATGCGTGACATTTTTTATTCATTTTTACACCATTTACTTATTCAACTTTAATTACAATAAGTGTTTATATCATAATAAATGCAAAAACAACAAATCAGATGACGTAATCATCATAAGCAAAATAATAAACGAAGATGGAAATGAAGAAGAAATTAAATCAACAATGGGGCTATTTCTTAATTTTATTACAGTATAATATATGTTTTTTCCTAGTCTTTTTACCTAGTTTTATATTGTTGTAATAAAGATGCTGGATGCTGTATATAGCCTATATATACATTTCATTAGCTGAAATGTCCTCTGAAGCATTAACAAATAAGGTGCGCATTGTCTCTGAACCACCACAAATAATTTACTTTAACTGTGATATTTAGTGTCATTCGCCAGGGGGCAGTAAATACTCTTTTTCTTCTTCTTTTTCTAAAGAGACCCCACAACCAGTCTATTTATTTGTTGGTTTGCAAGTATCTCAGAAGCAAACTACTTTCATCCCTAAATAATCAGAATAACACAATGCTATTTTAAAATGCGTTATATCAAATGTATTTTAAATGTGAATTCTACAACCAAAAATTGCTGCAGTTTTTTCAAACTGTCAAGGTTAATTAGTGTAAAAACAAGAAAGGCAGAACACAGAGTATGAAACAAATACATTCAAATCAAATAACATTACTTTCAGATTGTAAGCTACTATTAGAAATAATAACAACAATTGATGATGCATGAGTCATTTTTTATTTATTTCTGTATTCTGATTTTTTTATTCTGTATTCATTTCTTTTTTATATATATAGGCTAGGCTTTATTTATTTATTTATTTAATTTAATTTTATGATTTATTTTTTTTGTGGTGTAACAGTGCATACGAACAAGGCAATGCACACGTGCTTTCTGTTTATTATGAAAATATATGTTCTCAGCATTAGGATTCATCAATAGCCCAAGAGTCCATGAGTGAAGGGGGCATGATATCTCACAGAGGGTGGGCACACACACACACACACACACACACACACAAACACACAACACATAGACACACACACACACACACACAGACACACACACACACACACA